CACACGTCCAAGTAGCTTCCCCATTTGTTGCTGTTTCTCCCTCTCTGATGATAGGCTCTTGTAGGAGCTCGAAACCTCAGGAAGAAATAAATTTCGTTCCAGTGTTCGACCATTTGTCTCTTTTACCAATAGACATACCTGGAATGCGAATATTCTCTCTCCTTCGTGTAAAAAACGTCTTTTATCACATCTCCAAGCTGATTTTCAGAGAAGCCGCAAAAGAACTTACTTCAATGCATGTGCACTCGAAATCCTTTTCATGAATTCCCAGAACATTGCAATAATCACCTTTCGTATTCGGTAGAGATAGACATGGTTTCCGGTGACATGGATTCGCACAAATCTATAAAAAACCAAACCATGGTAAAAGTCGGTGTTGGTCTAAGTGTTTTTAAAGTCGGTAAAAGCTGTCTTGTAGGGCCGTCTAAATATCTATTGCCCCGCCTGACTACCTTATGTATTTTGTGGTTCAACATTTAATTCTTGGTTAATAAGTGTTAATGAATATTTAATCGTTTTAAAAGTGTTCAAAAAATAGTTCTCCACCCCCAAAACCCCCTATAACCACCGTTTCCGTAGGTTTAAATGTTGGGACTAGGGTATATTAGGCGCAGTGTTTAAACTACTCTAACCAAAGAAACTTATATCTGTTTCAATGCAATTAATAGAATGGACTCCATCTACATAAACGCCTTTTGCTCAGACACCTGATGCCTATTGACGGATATTCAACCTTATATTGGCTGAATTTTACGAAAACATGGAACGTGGGATTACTGAAAATGAAAAAGCAGGTTATTGTTGTAAGTCAACGGCAAATAGAACCTCTAAAGGCATTCCTATCTGAAAATCTACGGGCTGCGCCTCCCAGAATTAATTAAAGATACAATGCAGGTTAGTAGAACGTCATAAGTAGGGTACTGTGCTGCGTAAAAATCCCAGTTAAAAGGTAATTCACCAACAGATGTAATGCTTATCAAAGGTTCCAGTTGCTGGCAATCTTAGATTCAGGAGGCACTTTCAGACACCCGGTTTATGCTTGGAGCCCGGTACCTCTAAGTAACACGAACTCTGAGCTTGCCGGACTGTGGTGTCCAAAGCTAGGACGCGAAAGGAAGAGGAGGCAATCGACCACGCGGAAAGTTGGATTAACAATTAGTCAGTCATTCCCACAGAAGGGCTATGTATATTTATTGATCCGTCTGAGTAGGACTTGTCGAAAACATGGACCAATCGAATCCGACTAGAAATCGATAGCGATGGTGCGCGTTCTCGTGACAGCAGCGTGACCGCTCACACAGGCGCCTTTCTGTACGATGACTCATCGTGGAGAATGGAGGCATCCCAAAACACTGGAACCTATATGCAGACTTAAGGCCTGTAATTTTCGAAAAAAATGCTTCATCAGACGAATAGTTGACAGAAGACAGTTCCTCGTCATATGCATTTTGTACTGATTATGTACAGAAGCTACATTTCGATTCCAGAAAATTCATGATATGATCAGAAACCTCGAAAATCCAAAGGAATATTCTGAAAAAATATACTAAAGGAAGATTTCCTCCCTGCAATCAAGACCGAACGATGCTATAATGAAACTTGCGGATGTACGCAAGGTTTAAATAATGATGCTTGACTGAAGCAAGTCAGCCCAGAGAGTGAACTTAAACATGTGAGAACCAAGCAGAGTAAGGTTAACCAAACGATCGTTAGAGACTGACACAATCCGAATGTGTAAGCGCACGGTCTACATGGTGTCCCTTATGCCTTGAGGGTCAATCGTGAACTCCACCAACAGCCGCTTTGCGCGTAGAGACGGAAAGGCACGTACAAAAACGGCGACAGTAGCGTATTTAGCCGCCCCCCCCCATATACCCCTAGTCCCAGCCCGTTGTCCTATGAAAACGGTGGATATAGGGTTTTATGGGTGGGGAATTAGGATACGCAGTGGATTATATTTTAATAACAGCTATATGCATTTTTATTTTACTGTATTTAGAAATGCTGTTGGTTTCAAGCTGTAGATTTTCCTAATCTGTATTATCGTTTAAGGTATTGCGGGAAAACCCGATTATCAAACTGCAGGTTTCTTGAAGTTCCTGAAAAAATAGAAATGATGGTTAGGAGGTCGTCTACTTCAATTTACCTGATGTCCAACTTACCGTTCTGGAATTAGATTAGTACAGTCTGTGGCGCGAAGCGCCGCACATACCTTTAAGTTGCATGCGGAACAACTTACTCCCAGCGGCCGCAGGAAACAAAGTCAACTCTATTTTTCAATTTTCACTTACTTTTAAAAAATTCCTTATCTGCTTAACTTATTTCCCCACCCCTCCCCCCGAACATCCTACAACTACCGATTTCGTAGGATAAAATGCTGGGACTAGGGGTGTATGATCGGGCTACATAAGCTACTTTTGCCAAAAAAATGGGCCGACCGAAATTACGGTGGGATAAATTTGGGTAGATTTCGGCTTTATGCTCCTTGTTATCTTTTTACGAGACATTACTTTTTGCTGTTTAAATCGGAGTTTTGTTTCTTAGCAAGGAAAGCTATCCTCGCCGCGGAGACTAACTG